AGATCAGCCTGGGCAACAATGAAACCTGTCTCTACAAAATAAAAAAACTTAGCTTGGCATGGTAGCATAAGCCTGTAGCTACTTAGGAAGGAGGCTTGAGCCTGGGAGTTGGAGGTTGCAGTAAGCTATGATCATGCCACTGTATTCCACTCCAGTCCCAGAGAAAGAGCAAGACCTTGTCTCAAAAATAAATAAATAAAAAGGTTAAAATGTTAAATTTTATGTAACATTTTGGTAAAAAAAATTTTATTATTATTATTTTTTTTGAGACAGAGCTTCAAGCTGTCACCCTGGGTAGAGTGCCGTGGTATCACAGCTCACAGCAACCTCCTGCTCCTGGGCTTAAGCAATTTTTCTTGCCTCAGCCTCCCAAGTAGCTGGGACCACAGGCGCCCACCACAACGCCCGGCTTTTTTTTTTTTTTTTTTTTTGGTTGTAGTTGTTATTGTCTGGCAGGCCCGGGCTGGCGGGCTGGATTCAAATCTGCTAGCTCTGGTGTATGTGGCTGGCGCCTTAGCCACTTGAGCTACAGGCACCAAACCTGCCACAACTTTTTATAAAGGGGGAAGAGACTAGTCCTGATTATGTTATGATTTCCTTTCCTTTCTGTTCATGAAGATTAGTGAGGGAGGTTAGGGAGCTGACATCCCACAGGGCCAGGACACTGAGAGGCTGGCCTGGGAACAATGCTTTTCCAAGTAGACTTGCAGGCACAGTATAGTATTTGGTCCTCACCACAGCTATGTGAGGTAGAGAAACTTTATAGCTGGGGAAACTGAGGCATAGACTAGCCACATGATCTGACTAAGATCATTCAAGTTGGTGGCAGTTTATTATTATTTTTAAATAGTCACCTGGAAAGCATCTTTGCATCTTAGTTTAACCTGCTGAAACACCAACTGGCTCAGAGGCCTTTGAAGAAAGGACATAGGTTATAGATTAGTAGCAGAAGACTTTGTCTCCTGGGGCAAACTTGCTTGCTTCCATGACTGGATGATGAGAATATAAAACCTTGCTGTGTTTCTCTTTTTACTATGGCTGCCAGGAAACTCATTCGAGTAAAATTTAATCACCCTATTATGGAATTACATCAGGTGGATTTAGAGAATAATTTGTCTTGCTTTTTGACTTTTTATTTTTGTTATCTTATTGAACGCTATGACCAATATTGTAAATGGCTTCTGATGCCTTTTGGAATCGCTTAGAGTAATTAAATCAGAGTTTGGCTGAGGAGGACCTCGTCCCTTATGTCCCAGCTCAGTGCTCGATGCTCTTTTTAAAATATAGCACTGTAGTGATTGGTTAAAAGAAAAGATGGCCTAACAGTCAAGGCCATGAACACAAATGGCATAGTCAATGGTGCTTAGGATCCGCCGAGAGAAGTCAAGGTGGGGTCCAGGAATCTGCATTTTGAACATGCCCTCAGAGGATTCTGAAAAAGGAGAATCGCAGACCACCTTTTAGAACACATAGGTCTAGAACCTGGAGAGGACTGGGTTGACCAGTGGCACTTTGGGGGTGTCCTGTATCCACATAAAGTCCCCAGTGGAGCAGCAGGTTTGCAGAGAAGGCAGGACAGAGAGGGAATCCAAGTTCTTTTTTTTTTTTTTTTTTAGAAATAGAGTCTCATTTTGTCACTTTCGGCAGAGGGCCGTGAAGTCATAGCTCACAGCAACCTCCAGCTCTTGAGCTTAGGCGATTCTCTTGCCTCAGCCTCCCAAGAAGCTGGGACAACAGGCGCCCACCTCAACACCCAGCTATTTTTTGTTTGCAGTTTGGCGGGGGCCGGGTTTGAACTTGCCACCCTCAGTATATGGGTTGGCGCCCTACTCACTGAGCCACAGGCACTGCCCAGGGAATCTGAATTCTTATCTAAAGTTGATAACTTTCTAGGTGGGTGCTCTGTGATGAGATCTGCCCCTCAGTTTCTTCCTTTGCAAAATGAGAGCCCTAACCCCTATCCTGCCAAGGCTGCCTCCCAGAGTTGTCCCTGAGAGGTCTCAGGAAGATGTAGGTTGGGGAAGTGATTTCTAAATAGTACAGTGCCCTGGGCAGGATGTGTAGGGGATTATTATTAACAAAGAGGTATGGGAGCTTGGGGGTCTGAAGAGGCTGGAATGTAGGACGTTCTGGATGGGAGGACATGCCTGGATGTTGGGTAGACAAGAGGAGAAGAGGTGGGGTGATAGAAGCATGAAAGGTGCATGGGAATGGATGGGTGTGAGGGAGCCATGTTCGTGGCAGGGTACACGAGAGTCAAGTCTTTGGGCCCTCATACTTGTCTCCTGGGAGGCCAGCTGGTACAAGAGTATCCCTGGGGACACTGAGTGGGGGAGCCCATTTTTAGCCCATAGAAATCAAGACCTCTTGGAGGTTGGACTTGGTGGGGAAAGAAATGGGGGAAAGGGCCAGCAGGGGATAGGGAATTGGATTCTGATGACTTGTGCATGCAGGCCTAAGCGTCACAGATGCACCAAAGTAGTTTGATTTTCATTACAATAAAGTCACTATTGCACCAAAAAAGGTATGATTTGGCTCTGGAAAGGTCAGACATAAACAACATGAGGTTGCCCAGTTTAGGGTCAATCATGCCAATTGGTTCCCTGCTTCCCCCCAACCAACTGATGTCAACCCCATGGAGCCAAGCCAAGTGGTCTGTAGGGGATGGGGACACCACGGTTCCTTGGGACTTTGGTTGAAGAGAGAATAGAGATGAGAAAAAGAGAAAGAAGGAAAGAAGAGAGGAAGGAAGGGGCACAGCAGAAGGGTGAGAAAGGGAAGGGCAGCGTTCCTTCCTAGGACCCAATCCTCCAGGGAAGCCCTACTGTGGGTCAGTTTTCTGCTTTGGGAATGTTACCAAGACTAAAAAGGCATTTGAAAAAACAAACAAACTTAGAAATTACATTCCAAAAGAGCAAAGAGTTTTTATAAACCAACCCCCCACCCCAAAAAGGAAAACACAACCAGTTACCAAGTAAAATGCTAAGAACCAAACCAAACCAATATTTACATGTAACATTTTCAACCCCATTAAGCCCCAGGTCCCGAGGCTTCTACAGGAACAGTGATGAGTGGCCTCAAACAGAGACATGCAGGAAGTAGAAACAGGGGCTTTACTGAAAACCAAGATCTGGAGTCTCCAACAGTGGCTGGGGGCCTACGTGTTGACACAACGAAGATGACAAGGACAATCTTGGATGAGGACGATGGTAAGGCTGAGTGGTCCATAGGCCTTGGGGTTCAAGTCTCACAGGGATTTCTCCCCAAGGCCTGGGTGCAGCCTCCCTGGCCCTCTGCAGCTCTGGGAGGTGGCAGAAGGCCTCTGGTGGCTTGTGGCCTGGTGTGAGTCCCCTCATCTGGAGATAATCTTGGAGGGTCCCCCTAACCTCTTGGATAGAAACAGCAGCACCCCAGATGGGAAGTGGCCCAAGGCTCCATTGGCCTGCCCACACATCACTATGGCATGATGACATGGCCAGGATTGGCATGACCCTGATGTTCAGGGAAGGGAGCTGAAGGCCCTGGACAAGCTGGTCCAGGTGACGCTGAAAGGGTGGGATGGGAACTGGCAGGTGGGAGGAGGGAGCGCAAGGGCATCTCCTGAGTCCTGGGGGCAAACTAGCAAAGCTGCTGGCTTTTGGTGTTCCTGATAAGGAATTCTGCAGATAAGCTAATCCATCCTGGTGTTTCCATTCTGGGTCCCCAGCCACTTACAGGAGGGCTGCATGTCTCTGTGTGTGGGTGTGTATGCAACCAAAATGGGTTCGCTGGCACCAAGGAGGAGCCCACGTGAGGCCCTCCTCACCACACTGCAATGCGCCATGCTGCAATCCAACCAATGGCTCGGGTGGCTCACAGTTCATGTGGGATGTGGGGAAGGGCAGGCCAGTGGGTTGGGAGAAGAGCCATGAAAGGCATAAGGCTAAGGAGAGAGGCTGGTGAAAAGGCTGCAGGCTGATGAGAACCAAGGCAGGCTGGTAGACGCTCTCAGGTCCATGTGCAAAGCTGCAATAAACAACATTCTCCAAGTTCAGTCCTGTTTTCCTGCACGTTCTCACTTGGGGAACTTGGAGGGATTTCCATGCTCTTAACAGAGCCTTAGTAATCCATGTTCAACTCACCAAAAAAAGTTGTCAGAGGGAAGGAGGAAAAAGAGAAGGGAAATGGAGAATGTTTGGGGAGTGGTGACAACAGTCCAGCCCTTTGCCATGTCAGTGGGTGTTTACAAACTGACCGGTGGTGCTGGGCAAGTACTAGGTGTGGAGTAACAAGTAGCGTTCTGAGGCCAAATGGCCAGCAGTGGAGGGGAGCAAGTTGCAGGGCTCCAGCTCTGTCAAGGGGCCCTCCAAGAATGACCAGGACACCAGGGCTTGGTCTCCAAACCTGGCTGCTGAGCAGCCTCATCTACACATGGGATCCCATGCCTGTCCATGCTGTTAGAAGGCCCACATTGTCCCAGTGGCAAGAATATGTGTCTCAACCTCCAATAAATTACCTTAGGGACTTTGGGGGTAAATTAAATTATTAAAATAAAGTAAACCGCCTTAAATATTTATAATAAGAAAAATTCAAATAAGCAATCTAAGCAAGAAGTGTGTTTCCAGGCCCCAGTCTACTGCTGTGTCCTGAGCTCTGGCCTCCTGGAGTTCTCCTTGGCCTAACCCGGCCAACTGGAGTCTCTTATGGGGAACATCTTTGCCCCCACCAGCTGCAAGATGTAAACACAGTGGAGATGTGGTGCCAGCAAAAGAGGCCCTGAGATCAAGGCAGTGGGCATGTAGGCATTTCTCTATGCACCAAGTCTTAAGACTGACTCTACCTATTTCTGTCCTCAAGAAGTCTCCTGGGAAGGATAGGGCCCCTCAAGTTACCTTGGCAGAGGAAACAATCTCAAAGGCTCCCCAACTCTACACACTCCCACCTTATCTCCCAGTTCTTCCTGCATCCAGGGTATAAGCAGGGAGATCCAGGGCTCCAGGATGCCAAGCAGATACTTGGCACTGGCTTCAGCCCTATCATACCCCCCACCCCAAGTCCTGGAAATCTGGAGCAGTGGGGCTGAGAGGAGGAGGTGGCAGAGGGAAGGAGGGGATAGTGATGGTGCCCGGCCCAGCTCTATCAGGAGCCCCACGTGGAGCCCTGCAGCAAAGCCTGTTCTTCTCCGTAGGGTCTCCTCTTCAGTGAAGGGGTGCGTGGTCAGTAAGGAACATCTCTCTGGGCCCTTTTCCCCAAGGGCATCGCCAAAGGTGTACCCTTCCCAGGCTCTTCCAAGAAGTGAGCATAGGTAGAACCAGAAGAGGCTCTCCCTTAGGACCCAGGGATCAACTCGAGACAGATCTCTCTGTAGATGCTTCCAAAGCCCATTTTTGGTCTTTCTCCCACTCATTGCTTTCCCCTGGGAAATTGGGGCTCACCACCCAGAGGTCAGCAGGAGACCCTGCTTTACCTTTACGTGAAAGCTGCTCTGTGGCAGTGTTGCAGCTGCTACACCTCCAGGGCCAGGGTGATGCAGAGGGCACGGCCCCTCACCTCCTCTGTGCTGGTTCCTTCCTGCTATCCGGGGCCGGAGTTGGTTGAGGCAGGGAGCTCTGCTGCTCTGTCACTCGCTAGGGGGTGCTGCCCTCTCGTCCCCGCCCCAGCTGGACTCTGAAGGGTGCAGCCTGCACTTGGAAGGAGAGTGGCGGATGGCAGAGCGGGACGACCGCGAGAAGCAGGAGGTAAGAGACTGGGTGCTACAGTCACAAATGGCATCCTAGGAGGAGAGAGGTGGGAAGTCAGGTGGAGTCAGGAGGCACAGCCCCTTGGGGCTGAGTGGCCAGCAAGGCAAAGAATCTGGACTCAGCCAGCCCATGGACCAGGACCTGTAGCCCTTTGCTGAATCAATTTTTCTCTTTATTGTTTTTCTCTGGTCACAGCAATAATGAGTATTTTTTTTTTGGAGAAAGAGCCTCAAGCTATCACTCTGGGTAGAGTACTGTGGCATCACAGCTCACAGCAACCTCCAACTCCTGGGCTCAAGAGAGTCTCCTGCCTCAGCCTCCCAAGTAGCTGGGACCACAGGCATCCGCCACAACACCTGGCTATTTTTTGGTTGCAGCCATCATTGTTGTTTTTGGCAGGCCTGGGCTGGATTCGAACCCGCCACCTTAGGTGTATGTGGCTGGCGCCTTAGCCACTTGAGCCGAGCCAGCAATAATGAATACTCATTATAATATAGTCCAGCCTAGGCAGAGATGAGAGTGGACACTGTCCGTGGTCCTAGACATCCAAGGTAAATTCTTTTTTTTTTTTTGAGACAGAGCCCAGAGCCTCAAGCTATCCCCCTGGGTAAAGTGCCATGGCATCACAGCTCACAGCACCTCCAACTCCTGGGCTCAAGCAAGTCTCCTGCCTCAGCCTCCCAAGTAGCTGGGACTACAGGCGCCCATCACAACGCCCAGCCATTTTTTGGTTGCAGCCATCATTGTTGATTGGAGGGCCCGGGCTGGGGATTCGTACTCACCACCTTAGGTGTATGTGGCTGGTGCTTTAGCTGCTTGAGCCACAGGCGCCGAGCCCCAAGGTAAATTCTTAACACACCATACATACATACATTTACCAAAATGATCTCATTTCCTATAGCTTTTTTTTTTTCCCCATAGCTTTTCCAATTGCAAAACGGGGGCACTTACTCAGTGCCTGTGGCTCAGGGAGTAGGGGGCTGGCCCCATATACCAAGGGGAGTGGGTTCAAACCTGGCCCCTGCCAAAACTGCAAAAAAAACAAAACAAAACACACCAAAGGGCGGTGCCTGTGGCTCAGTGGGTAGGACGCCAGCCCCATATACCTAGGGTGGTGGGTTCAGGCCTGGCTCCAGCCAAACTGCAACAAAAAATGGCCCAGGCATTGTGGTGGCGCCTGTGGTCCGAGCTGCTTGTGAGTCTGAGGCAGGAGAATTGCCTAGGCCCAGCAGTTGGAAGTTGCTGTGAGCTGTGTGACACCACGGCACTCTAGCGAGGGCGATAGAATGAGACTCTATCTCTACAACAACAATAACAACAACAAAAAAACAGGAGCACTTTCCTATCACTATGTATGTTTAGATCTCCTTTCTATAATGGCTCTATACCTTTCCATCGAATGGAAATAATTTATTTACCTAAATTATTTTTGATGTGCACTTGGGTAGTTTCTAAGTTTTTACTATTACCATTAGACAGGCATAATGTTTAAAATTGTTGCTGTAGACTGCTTGGTTCAAATTTCAGCTGTACCATTTGCTGGCTGTGTGACCTTAAGCAAGCTACTCAACCTCTCCCAGCCTTGAATTCCTCCTCTCTAAGAAGGAGGACATGACACTTTTCTCAAAGTTGCAAAAGTCAAATCAGATATGATATGGAAAGTGACTGATATGGAACCTACTTAGCATTCAATAATGGTTAGCAGTTTTTATTAATAATGTCCTGTATTTCTTCCTTTCTTTTTTTTTTTTTCTTTTTTTCAGAGAGGAGGTCTCTTTCAATTGCCCAGGCTAGGTACATTCATACCTCACTGTAACCTCCAACTCCTGGGTTCAATTAATCCTCCTGCCTCAGCCTCCCAAGTAGCTGGGACTAGAGACAGGTGCTACCACACCTAGCTAAGTTTCTGAATTTTTCTCATAAAGACAGGATCTCACTATGTTGCACAGGCTGGTCTTGAACTCCTGGGCTCAAGTGATCCTCTTCCCTCAGCCTCCCAAAGTGTTGGAATTACAGGCATAAGTCGCCATGCCTGGCTAGTACATTCCTTTATACAAGTATCTTTTTCCACCTATGTGAACATTCTATAGACTATATTCCTAAAAGAACTACTGGATCAATGGGTGGCATGTACCTTTTACATACTAAAAAATATTTGGGCCAATTTTTTTTTTTTTAATTTGAGATAGAGTCTTACTCTGTTGCCAAGGCTAGAGTGCAGTAGCATCACCACAGCTCACTGCAACCTAAAACTTCTGGGCTTAAGCAACCTTCCTGCCTCAGCCTCCTATGTAGCTAGGACTATAGGCATGTGCCACCACATTTGGCCAATTTTTATAAGTTTTTTGTAGAGGCTGGGTGCAATGGCTCACACCTGGTAATAGTAGCACTAGGAGGCTGAGGCAGGAGGATCGCTTGAGGCCAGGAGTTAAGAAACCAACCTGAGCAGAAGTGAGACTCTATCGCTACAAAAAGTAGAAAAATTAGCCAGGCAAGGTAGTATGCACCTGTGGTTCCATCTACTCTGGAGACTGAGGCAGGGGGCTCTCTTGAGCCCAGGAGTTTGAGGTTGCTGTGAGCTATGATGATGCCACTGCACTCTAGCCCAGGAAACAAAGCAAGACCCTGACTCAAAACAAAATTTCCTTTTTGTAGAAACAAGGTCTCGTTGTGTTGCTCTGGCTGGTCTCAAACTCTTGGCTGATCCTGGGCCTTTCAAAGTACTAGGATTAAAGGTATAAGCAACAGTGTCCAGCCTGGATCAACTTCAAAATCAACATCCAAAATCCAGCCAGCTTTGTACAGTTGTTTCTTTTTTTTTTTTTTTTGAGACAGAGCCTCAAGCTATCCCCCTGGGTAGAGTGCCATGGCATCATGCTCACAGCAACCTCCAACTCCTGGGCTCAAGCGAGTCTCCTGCCTCAGCCTCCCAAGTAGCTGGGACCACAGGCACCCACCACAACGCCTGGCCATTTTTTGGTTGCAGCCGTCATTGTTGTTTGGCGGGCCTGGGCTGGGGATTCAAACCCACCACCTTAGGTGTATGTGGCTGGCGCCTTAGCCACTTGAGCCACAGGCGCCGAGCCTGTACAGTTGTTTCTTGATGTAATGCTGGTTATATGAGTGTGACAGTTAATTTTTTTGTGTCAACATGACTAGGCCATGAAGTGTGCCAATATTCGGTTAAATATTATTCTGGATGTATCTGTGAGGGTATTTTCAGAGGAGTTTAACATTTACATTTTTCCCAATGTTGGTTGGCCTCATCCAATCAGTAGAAGGCCTAAATGGAAAGAAAGAACGGACAATCCAATTAAGAAATTATTTTTTTTCTTTTGAGACAGAGTGTCACTTTGTCACCCCTGATAGGTGCCATGGCATCATAGCTTACAGCAATATCTCAGACTCCTGGGCTCAAGCTATTCTCTTACCTCAGCCTCCTGAGTAGCTGGGATTACAGATGCCTTCAACAATGCCCAGCTATTTTATTTCTTTCTTTATTTATTTACACAGAGTCTCACTTTGTTGCCCTTGGCAGAGTGCTGTGTCATCATAGCTCATAGCAATCTCAAACTCTTGAGCTCAAGTGATTCTCTTGCCTCAGCCTCCCAAATAGCTGGGATGCCCGCCACAACACCCAGCTATTTTTAGAGACGAAGTCTTGCCTGAGCTCAGGCAATCCACCCACCTTGGCCTCCCAGAGTGATGGCTATTGTTTTTATTTTTTATTTTATTTACTTTTTTTGAGACAGAGTCTCACTATGTCCCCTTGGTAGTGTGCCATGGCATCACAGCTCACAGCATCTCAAACTCCTGGGCATAAGTGATTCTCTTGCCTCAGCTTCCCAAGTAGCTGGGACTACAGGCACTTGTCACAACGCTCGGCTATTTTTGTTGTTGCTGTTTTTGTTGCAGTTGTCATTGTTGTTTAGCAGGCCCCGGCCAGGTTGGAACCTGCCAGACTCAGTGTATGTAGCCAGCACCCTAACCACTGAGATACAGATACCAAGCCCTATTTATTTTTACAGATACCGAGCCCTATTATTTTTAGACACAGAATCTTGCTCTAGCTCAGGCTGGTCTCGAATTTGTGAGCTCAGGTGATCTGTCTACCTTGGCCTCCCAGAGTGCTGAGATTTCAGGCGTGAGTTGCTGTGCCCGGCCAAGTAAGAAATTGTTTTGGCCTGACAGCCTTCAGATTCAGACACTGGCTTTTTTCTGCCTTCAGACTAGAACTAAACCTTCAGCTCTTCCTGGGTCACTGAGTCTGCAAGCCTTTTGATCAGAACTAAACCATAAACCTCCCAAGTTCCCAAGCCTTCAGACTCAGACTGGAACTGTATCATTAGCTCTCTCAGTTTCCCACTTGCTGACTCACCCTGCAGATCTAGGGACTTGCCAGACTCTATAATCACATGAGCCAATTCCTTATGATAAATCTCTCTCTCCCCCTCTACTCTCTATATAGCCTATTGGTCCTATTTCTCTAGAGAACTCTCTCTACAGACATAATGGCTGTATTCAGTTTGTGAGAATTTAGTGAGCCATCCTCTTACAGTATGCTCAGTATGAATATTAAATTTAAATTTTAAAGTGTATTACAATAAAACTTTCAAGGAGGCTCGGCGCCTGTGGCTCAATCGGCTAAGGCGCCAGCCACATACACCTAAGGTGGCAGGTTCAAATCCCCAGCCC